AAGCCTCAATTACTCGCCACACAAGTACCAAGTGCTTGGTTGTTGCTAATGTTTGGCTGTGCGACCCGAATATTAATTCATGTTTCAAACCGTTTAAAACTTTCGGGTGTGGACAGGGTTGCTTAGGCGCTGGTGGTTGGCTGGTGTTCGGGAGTATTGGTCAATAGCATTCTGGCATCAAATTTGACTCAAGCTTCACTCAAATTTGATTCGATTCGTATAGAAAGGTATAGGAGTGACCTAAATGTGTTCAGAGCGGCAGCCAGCCTTTAAGAAACAGGAGGAGCGAGTACAAACAGAAAAGAACCCTCTGGTTCCTGGCCGGGTTCGAATCCATGACCCTCCAGGCCACACGTCGACGCTCTTACCACTCGGCTAAAAGGCCTAGACCCATCGGCCGGGTCAGTCGGTAGCGCCTATAAACCCCCCCCACTGTTACAAACCTTGTATGGTGTTCGGGAGAAGGTTCTGAATGTTTGCTTTATGGAGCCACCGGTTCTCTGTCACACTATATGAATAATGACCGCAGATGACGTCCTTTTACGTACGCCATAATGACGAAATTCTAAAAGCCGGACAAGCAAAAGCCAAGTCCCCACTGGCTGATGTCAGAAGGTCGCCCTGGCCCGGTCACGTCTAGGCAAGACCTCTGAAGCACTGTGTTCGTCCAAGACATAGCCAAGTAGTATCGTTTTGGGAAAGGTGAACACAATACTTATTATCAAGTAACCTTCTTCGCCTTACCAGACTTCACATTTGATCCATACGCAGTGCGTGAAAATGTTGGCAAAGGTATGTTTATTTTCATATGGAAAGACATCTCGTAGAATAGTCCGTTGTTCTTTTGTTTTGTATTGTGAACGAACATCATGCATGCACAGTGTCATGAGCCTAGCTTCAACAAAGTTGCTGCCGTGTTACATTGTCTTTTTAGAAGAAAATCTGAGTGCGTTATTTTAGACCATGGCACTTTTTTGGTCGCCACTAAAATCTATTAAAAGCAAGGCGCAGTTGTGGAAGATATTTTTGTTTGAGAGATGACATTGTGTCGGTCGTCAAAGCTAGGAAGACTTGAATCGTTGGGGAAAGGTAAGTCGAGAGGCCGAGAAGGCAGACGTTTCACTGTACCGGCACAGTGCAGGTACATTGTACCGGGGAAAGTCTTTTAGCTCTTTTTGGCTAGAACAGAACCGGGACTCAACGTCTCGTCCCAACAAAGACTAGAGCCCTTTTCAGTCGCATGCAGGTGATGTGGGGAAGTCGTTGCACGCTATGTTGAGGGTATGTGGTTGTTAGGTAAGCCCAACTGTTTTTTTTTAGAGAAACCAGACAGTCACCATTTTACATCCTAACATCCTCTTGGAGATCAGAGAATTCATTTCTCTCCCCCCTGTCCGACAGAGCGGCCCCGCGCCTGGGCCTCACGTCTCCGACCTTCCCGCCATTGACGTCACGTCCATCATCACGGTGGTCCTGTTCGTCCTGCTGCTGGCGTCGCTGATGTGGCTCTGCTGCTGTGGTTGGAAGATAGAGGGCCCCATGACCGACGCCTGGCGGACCAAGCCAATCAGAGAGCCCGTTACATTCGGGGGGAAAGAGTTCGACATGAGGTGGAAGAGCGCCAGCCAATCCACGATAAGCACTAAGAATTCCCAGGAAGTACGGCGCCTCTCGGTTGTGTAAAAAAATATCAGTGATTATGCCTTTTTACTTTATTATATGTCTCAAGCTGCTGAAATTCTTTTACATGTATCAAAATAGCACCAAGATGACACTGGTGTCTTCACTTTAGCTTGTTGAAGATATGATACAGGAATCGAAGATTCTATTGCCGAAGATTTTTCTCCCAATCCTTCTACCATTCAGAAGATCATCAAAAGACTACGTTTTTCGGACTCATTATACAGAAAGTGGGAAAATTCATTATTCACCGCCTTCAAAGCAGAAGTCAAACCTCATATAAATAGCAAACGTACATGTAGTATAGTAGTACTAGTATAAGTTGATCAGACTGTAGTTGTATGTACCCTATATGTTGCTTTCTTTGACCTTACTTTCTTTGACAATGTACAAGCAATTAGCAGTCCGTTATGATTTTGCACTATAAAGATTGTATTGGTCATGCCTTTGTAGCTACCTACCCACATGCAAAAGTATACCTAATGGTATACAGAATATATATACATAATGGTATATGTAGAATTATCATATAGCCGGACGGCGTGGACCAATCAGAGGCCCGGATACCCGTGCTGTTATTTCCCGATAACAGCACATGTGGTGTTATGGCGGAATAACAGCACATGTCGTGTTATGGCTGATACCATTATGTTATAGGGTATAGGGGCATGCGACTCTTTCTGTAAACCTTTGTAGCATTTTTCTGTCCAATAAACTTTTTTGTTTAGCTTCATTTAAACTACAATTTGCATTAAATGAAATTATCCATATTTGTTTTAAAGCGTATAATATATTCGAATGTATTTTTATGTATGTATATATATTAAAGCTGTTGTATTTCAAACAGGAATTTGTGTTGATTGACAGTTTTGGATAGGCTATATGATAATAATTTTAATGCACTGCCTTTTCCTCGTTGTATATGGTGTCATAACTGCATGGGCAGCTGCCATAACCACCTCATAAACCACCTCGTTCGCTTCGCTCACACGGTGGTTTATTCGGTGGTTATGGCAGCTGCTCATGCAGTTATGACACCATATACAACTCGGGGCAGTGCATTAACCCTTTATTATATAATGGTATATATAAGGAGAGAGAATGATGGCCGAGAGTTTTACACCACATCCATCATTGTTAGTGACAATAATATTGTACAGCTAAATTGGGGGGCATCCGTGAATAGTTTCATCAGGTTGGTAAGTTACTGAGTAAAGAGACTCTTTCTACACAACCAAGTCTTTTTATTCAGCCGACGTTTCGGTGACCGTCTGTCACCTTCCTCAGGGCAATTCTGACTGGTTCACATTGCACTTCAGCAGATGTGTCGCTGCTATAGATGCATTCCCAAACGCACAATATGTACATATCTACACATATACAGGGTCACCGAAACCTCGGCTGAATAATAAGACTTGGTTGTGTGAAATGAGCCCCTTTACTCAACTAAACAGGGGGCAGTAAGCAGGCCAACGTCCGTAAAGATATCAAGGCTATATAGATAGCCAAGATGAATGGACCGTCAGTTGATTCCATATACGACCAGTTTGCTGAAATGGCCGAAGGTCTGAACTATTCACCCCAGTCATCACTAGGTCATATACTGCCCCTTTATCATCCAAAACCATGTCAAAACTGCATTGTCCACGCGTGTTCAGGTAGCATGAGTGTCTGCCTTGTTAGCTTTCGTCCGCTCTCCAAGATCCGCCCCCCGTCTTGGGGAGCGGACGAAAGTTAACAAGGCTGGCACTCAGGCTAGTGTCCATGACCGTGTCTGGGGTAAATCTACGTTCTTGGATACGCGGGGACTATCCAGAACCGTACCGATACAGTTCCAGAAATAGATAGCTGCCACTCTGGACACACTAGCTTGCCTCCTCGCAGCCTTGTGACGATGTTTTATTAATAGTACCAGGAAAAATATTGTCACCGGTTAACCGACAGGCACTAGGAATAATAGTAGACCGGTGGACAAATTATGTAAACGTTTAGTATATGATATTATACTTCTTTGTTCGGTTAAATGATATACTAGTCTTGTACAATTCAAATCTGTATGATTAAAGTATGATGTTGGAAATACTAAATGTCTTTATGCATTTCTACATTGACACACATGAGAGATTGGTTTTACCTCTGGGAAGGAGATATCCCTCCGCGGAAGGGTACTGTTTTCGGTAATGTTTCACGGTGTGTTCACAGTGTAGCTCACGGTGGGTTGACTTGATACACGCTTATTTCTTAAGGGTCCAAATGATGCGGATTGCTTTTTTTAAATTCTAGTTGTGCTTTTGTAACAGGCCAATCACTGCGTTATCAGGTGCTGAAATAAATCGGGGGGGGGGGGGGTAGTCGTTTAATTTTTTTGTGGGGAGGGGGTCCCCACACACACAAAGACAAAGAAACGCCGCGATCGTTGTGATCACCATGCGTTATATACTTCCCGTTTGAAGTTGAGGTTTGGAATGTCCCCGAGGTCTTGTTTTATATGAGTGACAAGGACGTGACACGCGCCAGATATATAATATACTGTACATGTAGATGACACTGTGGAGGTATTGGGTATAAACGAATTTGGGCAAAGCGAGCGATGTACGTGTATGCCTTCTTTTGGAATAAACAACCCTAGGCCTAGTGCTACAGAAATACGTTGCTTCCTCGACCACTCAATGCGTTAACGTTATGTAGTATTCTTCGCCTTTGTTCCGAACATAATTTGAGGCGAACCGGCGTTCCGATCCAGTGACAAGAACCATGGGAAAAAGAGGAACCGCGCGAAAAAAGCCCATCTGGCGCCGAAGCTCTTTTGCTGCTGATACGCTCCTGACGGACACAGCGTTAGAGAAGGTATGGTACTAGGTTCTGTTGGTGAAGGCATGAGTACAGCATAGCCTCCTTTGCAGACTTGTAGGGCGCGACTTTTTTTGGCGAGCGACGGGAGTTATGCCCCGGAGGGACGATTTTGCTGCCGAGGGAGTTTTGCCGGGGACAGACGTTTCGCTAGCGCTGTTTCTCTCGCCGAAAAAAAACCCGTCGCGCCCTACAAGTCTGCGACTTCGGGAGGCTATTAAAGAACAGCATCTCTTTCATAATGGATACCATTCCAGACAGTAGATACTGAGATCACTGCCTTTGAAAAGTACATGAGTGCATACAATGTCATGTTACATTCTGTATCTGTATGTAGATATAGCCTGTATAGCCTGTAACGCGTTCAATCTGAGTATGAAACACGTACGGTATATCTTTTCCAGACAGAAACGAAGGGGGATGCGCAGCGGAAACTAAACTATGTTGCGCCAAAACTCAGCAGTGGTGACGAGGTGAGTAGGGTAATTATTTTTTAATCTATCTATCTATCTATTTATCTATCTATCTATCTATCTATCTATCTATCTATCTATCTATCTATCTATCTATCTATCTATCTATCTATCTATCCATCTTTCCATTTTTTCTCTCTGTGTCTCTCTCTATCTACACACACACACACACACACACACACACACACACACACACACACACACACACACACACACACGTATATATATGTATATAACCGAGCTCATTGGAATACGGTAGAAACAAAAGAACGTGGTTTGAAAAAATGGCACTACTAAACAACGACCAGTGTATTCGATAGTGAGCTTTTCGTTTGCAGCCAGCTTGCATGCAACTCCTTTATTTTTTTTATCCACAGGTGAACACGAACTTCCTTCCTGGCCAAGGGGCTCAAGTTCCCATCCACTTTGTTGTTCTATTGGTGCTGTTCCTCCTGACTGCCTTCCTCATCTTTTGCCGGGGGCGTCGCTACAAGTCTGCTGGCTCGAAGTCATCCAAAGCCGGCCAGTCTCGACGTTCCTCAGCGGCGACCAATACGAACAACGCCGCTACTAGAGCCACGAAAAAAGTTACGAGTTCTGATAAGCGTCGTAACTCCTTGGGAAAGAAAGACGCTTCTAATAATAACAATAATAATAAGCCCATCAGGAGAAGCGTTAGCAATTATACATAAGGCCACACCAAGTAAATTTTATGGATGACGTCCGCGCGCGCATTGATTTTGGCCTGTTCCTAGAAAAAAAAACAAGAAATTCCGCTTCCTGTAACTATGACCAAAGAGTCACGACAGTACCGCAAATCGTTAGATTGACGTGAAACCCGTAACGCGAAGAAAGTGTCTATTACCATCCTGTTTTCACTGTCCACTGTTCCACCTGATTTATTGCTGTTTTGATGATGAATAAAAGACTTCTTGCTTGTTAATCTGTGTCACCTCATTCAATTTGTGTCCTAACATTTGTTGTCTCTTAGTATATTTCTAATCTAGGCATCTTGTTTTTTAGGGCCCTGCTTGTTTTTTTTTCGCCCTCTCGCATTAGATTTAGGGTCTCCAAAGGACGTCATTCATAAAATTTACTTGGTGTGGCCTAACGGAACAAGAAAGTCTTTTGAGTTTTGATTGAACGTTGGGCTGATTATGAAGAATGTGTAAGGCATGTGCTAAGAGTTAAAATTGCAAGTGTTCAACGACTTAAAATATGGATTTCACATTGCGGCACTGCCTCTACTGCTCAAGTTTACTTCAAATGCCTACATAGACCGCTGTTATATCATATCATACCACTAGTACTCGTAAATTATGCGTCCGTATTATATATATATATCACGTTGTCTCCTTGTATGTACATCAATAAATCTCGCTGCCTTGTATGTGGTCTGCATGCTCCATATCAAACTTGTCGTTCCATTCTCGTTAACTTCTTGGCACATCAGGTAAATCATAGGGCCATCATCGAGTTCTTTACGTCTGTGTGAATTATATTCGACCCCATTCCAGTCTCCCTGTATGTGTATGATATAAATCCACGACCTCATTCAATCATCACTGTCTCGATGTCTCCTCTTATACACATACATGTATCTAGTGCTCGACTCGGAATCAAGAGGTCCCGGGTTCGGGTCCTGACATACCGCCGATTTGAGTCGCGCACGCTGCCGTTGCGCCCCACAAACTTGCACCATACAAAAAGGTCTGATGAACCAACCAACAGACTGACCAATCAATAAACCACACAATATGGAATGTGTCAAATTATTTAATGAAACGTTATGGTCAACAGTACTGTACTATATTCTATGTGATCATGTATTTGTTAGTGTGTATACATTTCTTGATAACCTTAACTATTTAATATATAATCTGGTGCAAAATAAATCACTTTTTTTATGTATAACCTTTACTGTATATGTTCTTATACTTTGTTATGCTGTTCCTCATGCTACAAAGTTTTACAAAATGTACCTTTTTTTACTGAAATATGACTGGTTTAAACCTGGAACTGAAGCTTGACAAGTTGATAATGAAACAGTAAAAAAACTTCTAACACTACTAGTATCTATCATGGTGCTATATCCCTAAATCTAAATTAAAACTTAAGCTGAACAAACGAAATTGGAAAGTTGAACATACAACACAATAAATCTTAAGATCTGTAGTTGGAATCAATAAAAACAATATGAAAGTTATCATTTGTGACGTATCAGTGCTAACAGGGCTAGTGATTAAAAACAGCACAAAGCATAGAGCTCAAATAACGAAGTATTTTTCAGCTTGAATGCTTAATTGGCAAATAAAATGTAACACTACTTATGAATGAATAGAATCTAGCAAGTAAAAAAAGTACAGAAATGTTATAATCACTGTTCATATCAAATCTAGGTACAGCTTCCCTACACACACTACACTTGCACTTGCATACAGTTTAGGTCTGTTTGACTGCAAACGAGTGTTCAGCACCAAGGACGTCACCTGTTTGTGAGGAAGGTGTTTGGCACCTATTTGTGAGGAAGGTGTTCAGCACCAAGGACAGACCTGTTTGTGAGGAAGGTGTTTGGCAACTATTTGTGAGGAAGGTGTTCAGCACCAAGGACAGACCTATTTGTGAGGAAGGTGTTTGGCAACTATTTGTGAGGAAGGTGTTCAGCACCAAGGACAGACCTATTTGTGAGGAAGGTGTTTGGCAACAAGGACAGACTTATTTGTGAGGAAGGTGTTCAGCACCAAGGACAGACTTGTTTGTGAGGAAGGTGTTCAGCACCAAGGACAGACCTGTTTGTGAGGAAGGTGTTCAGCACCAAGGACAGACCTATTTGTGAGGAAGGTGTTTGGCAACTATTTGTGAGGAAGGTGTTCAGCACCAAGGACAGACCTGTTTGTGAGGAAGGTGTTTGGCAACTATTTGTGAGGAAGGTGTTCAGCACCAAGGACAGACCTGTTTGTGAGGAAGGTGTTCAGCACCAAGGACAGACCTGTTTGTGAGGAAGGTGTTCAGCACCAAGGACAGACCTGTTTGTGAGGAAGGTGTTTGGCAACTATTTGTGAGGAAGGTGTTCAGCACCAAGGACAGACCTGTTTGTGAGGAAGGTGTTCAGCACCAAGGACAGACTTATTTGTGAGGAAGGTGTTCAGCACCAAGGACAGACCTGTTTGTGAGGAAGGTGTTCAGCACAATGAACTGTGTTGAATGTCGAACCTGTGCATACAGAACTTTCCCTACTGAGCATTTCATGAAAAAACAAAGGCTGAAGGAAACAAAGTCATAGATGACAGATTATTTCTTGCCCTGCTTGAAGTAAGTGATGATGGCCTTAAGTTGTAAATAATGAACCTGAACCTGTGTAAAGTTTCCCTACAACTTGTAGACTACAGAGAGTCCATCTGCTTTCTGTTATTTCTTGCGTTTTTTCATGCCCTTGTCTAGATGCTGAATGACAGCCTGAGCATCCTCCTCTCTCTCCCGCATCCGGCGGTCCATCTCCTCAAACTGTCGTCTCAGCTGCGACCGCACACGAGCAGACTCCTCACGCTCTCTCTCCTGACACAAGCAAACAACAAACGGGTTAAAGTACGCTGTAAAAGACAGTCCCATAGACATTTCAGAGTTTATATGTCTTATATGTTGAAAGCTAGTATAGTGGATACTAGCTGAAACGTCTGACCGTTTCCAAAACATATCCAGTTGCTTGAGTAACTGCTTTTTGGCATATCATACTACCTGGATGTCTAACCTTCATCGACGTATGTCTTATATTATTAATAATATCTTTATTAATATTTTTAATGTGAGTTTTTAAATGTGAGATTTACTTCTATTTTCACTATGGTATGATGACCTGTTGCCTTAATATTTTAAATCCTGCTGTTATTCTAGTACTTTTAATTCTGAACTGGATACATTTACTTTGTTTTGTAGATGTTAACACCTCAATTCAGCCTAGTGTTTGATATGCTAGTCTAACCTGTAATGTATGTATGAACAGTTGAGAAACACAAAATGAAGAACAACCCTACACTCACCAGTCTACCCAGCTTACTCCTAAAGTCTCTCTCCTCTGCCTCTGCCTTGGCTTGTCTTCTTTCTGCTTGTGCCTAGACAAGGATATATGATACAATTAAAAAGTGATTGTTAGTAGCAAATCTGCAATATCTGAAAAATCATACACATGTACAAGGTACAGGTCAGTAAGTGGGGAATACATGTACCTGGAATAGGATTTGTACATGGTAGTCAACTATAACTATGAAAACTTCATTTGATGAATAACATCCAGTATAAATTTCTTTCCATAGAGCTTTAAAGATCCCAAAGCTTGTGACTTTATAATTCAATGGACATTTTTACATATTTCTTTTTAACATAAATGGATCACAATGACTCCATAGGGTAGAATAAGAGAGCTTGTTCATCAATAGCATCTCTGAATGATACCATTTTGGCCCAAACCAGCAGTGGTCATCAAAATGCTGGACACACAGCTACATAATGTATACCTGTCTCCTGTTGACTTCTTCCTGACAGAAGTAGCGAGGACAGCGCTTGCTGGTCCTGTTGTGGCCCTGCTGACCACAGGCTCCGCATTTGGTGTTCTGTCGCGGGGTACTGGTGCCCGGACCATCAGAGGTACTAGTAGATGTACCACTACATGTACCGGTATCACCTCCATCACTGGTGCTCATTCCATCACTGGTACTTGTACTTGGTCTGGAGGCAGAGGCTGAGCTTGAAGAGGACCGCTACAGTGGTGAAAATGCAATCTTGAGTAAAGAGACTGTTTTTACACAACCAAGTCTTTTATTCAGAAGGTGACCGTCTGTCACCTTTCTCAGGGCAATTCTGACTGCTTAACATAGCACTGCAGCACAGGTGTTGCTGCTATAGATGCATTCCCAAACGTACAATAGACGGTCACCGAAACGTCGGCTGAATAAAAGACTTGGTTGTGTAAAACGAGTCTCTTTACTCAGTGACTTACTAACCTGATAAACTATTCATGGAAGAACCAATCTTCGTAACTATGATTTCTACCAATGGAGATGAACTTTCATGATAAGAAGCAATCTTGCATACATCTGTGAATAATCTCATGAGGTTGGCAGGAAACTGTATAAGAGGGTTCTTTATGCAACAACCAGTGGGTTTTTACATCCGACTTTATAAATAATACATTGTACTTTTATGAAATCATTTTTACCATACTTCTACTTCCATGCAAGTTGAAAACACAAGTATCTTTATGGAAATTTCATTGAAGAAATACATGTAGTATTCTACAGAAGACATGAATAGACATTGAATTGTGAGGCTTACTACATGTGTTGGTGATGTCCGTGTGGCATTTGAAGTCCCAGGGTTGGCATCGTGTAGTTGTATCCTAGACATTCATTTTAAAAGGAGATAAAAATGTACTACTTCAGACCTGACAGTGACAGGAAAAACAATTCTTGAATGCAGAATGGGCTAAACTAACACAATGTTAGACAACACATCTTCAAAGACAAAATACCCCTTACAACATGTTGGAAGGTTATGTCACAAAAACTAATAGAAAATAAAATAGCTTTTTTTCTTTAAAAAGAAAGACTGTGGTGGCATAATTACTTCCACATTCGTTGCGTTGCAGTGTGACGCGTTGCACGAGAAATACCCCCAAATCGTACCTATACATGGTGCTATATGGATGGTACTGTATGTGCAACCCAACAATTATTGGGCACGCAGGAAAAAGAGAGACTTGGCCAGGATTTAAGAATTTTTTAAAAATACCCTGGCGGAATGTCAGGAAGATAATCATCATCATCATCATCCATGGTGAAGATTTCAGCAGCAGAGCGCCCTGGTGCATGCTGGGATTGCCGCTGGGGTGTCGACACTGGTGTTGATTTAGAAGAGGCTGCTGCAGTTTAAAATAAGTCAAAACTGTGTTAAAAGGTAAGCTGTCATCAAATTCTTAGAACATCACATAATTCAACTGTACCATATTCTACTAGTATTCTTACAAGGCATATACATGTATATGGAATTCAATATGAACCACGTACTGAACAACTTGAAGTGTTTGTGGTAATTTTATTTTTTTTTGGTCTAATTTATGACACTGCAAATATGCTTTTTCAATATAATACTACTTATTAAAACTTTGTCTTTTTAACTGTGAAATTATAACAACTTATTCTCCCTTTTACAGCAAAAACAGATTCTGTTACTGTCATAGTCAGTAAATAGCAGTACAGTATAAAACATTGTAATAGAGAAGGACTGCAGTTCCAATGTCCCTGTCCTTAGTGCTGAAATAGCTATCTCTGGTATATGTATGCTTATAAGTTTGGATCTGAATAAACTCAAATTCAAACATTGTAGCTACAGCTCCTACCTGTTGCTCCTACTGCAGACGTCCTGTAATGTTGGGCCTGGAGCCTTCTATAGTCTTCCAGCTGGGTATATACAGAAGTACACAATATCAAGTATGTACATGTATATGTATAGTATGGTATAATATCCTGGTATAAGTACAGCTCTTAAGTTCCGACAAACCCCTTCATTCTGACATGGAGTTAGGCCTTAGGGTTAGGGTTGTCTGAATGTTGGGGTGTAAGAATATATACCATATGACATAGAGGTACATGTAACCACACACAGGAAGTATGATTATCATAATATTAAAATCTCTCAAAGCTAAAGCCAAACATTCCTGATAACATGATACACATGTAATATACTGTGTACAAGTATATCAAAGATATTTTATATTGGGAGCTTGTGCTATGTTCATGTGCCTGAATTTGAACAATCACATTTAACATGTGAGAGCTACTTAATAAAGCGGCCTATATAAGCCTTTAGAGAAGTACAAACTGAATAATTGTGTATTTTACCTGTTGTGCAGATTTCTCCCTCTCTCTTCTTCTTTCCCTGAACACAGCAGGGCCTTCACTTGTTCCAGGGGACCCGCTGGTGTCGGGTAACTTTCTCTTCGAACTCGGACTTCCAAAACCACTGCTGTTACTCTTACTACCTGATCCATTGGAATTCAACTCTTCGCTGAGTTTCCTAGCCAGTTCTAAGTCTTTCTCATACTGCGTCTGTGAAGAGATTTTATCTCTTTCCAGTTGCCTAGCTAAGGCCAAATCCTTTTCGTAATCAGAATCGACTTTGATTCTTTTAGCAGGGCTCCCTACTTCGGCAGATTTTCTATTCAATTCTGCTTCCAGCTGCTTTGCTAGTTCAAGATCCTTCTCGTAATGAAGGTCTAGTTTTCTCTTTGCGGTGGACGACTGCACCCCTCCTAACACTTTCACAGCTTCTGTAGACTTCTTGTGTTCAGATTGTAAGACATCTTTGTTCAAATCTTCATGTAGCTTTCTAGCAAGCTCTAAATCTTTATCACTACCATTTTGCTCTACTATTTCCTCTTCTTTTACTTGGAAAGTGTCTATCTCCTGTAGCTTCGAGCAAGAGTGATCTTCACAGTCCATTTTCTCTTGGAAGGCCACCCTCACGGCTAACTCAAAATCCTTTTGAAGATCTTGGTTAAGGTTGTTGTCCTTCTGAGAGGATTGCTTTGTTGGTAGGTTCTTTCTCTCACATTTTCCAGCTATGCCAGTTGTGGAACTGCTTTCTTTTTCACTAAGCTTCAGTGCGAGGCATAGATCCTTGTCTATATCTTCAGTTTGAGTTTCGAAATCCTGCGAGTCTTGTAAGCTTTCCTGGAGGTCTCGAGTGTTTGTGTTCCCACTTAAGGAGGCTGCTAGTTCTTTCAGCTTCATTTCATTGTCTTCTGGAGAATCTCTGTCGTGTCTGCTTGTCTGTAAGTCTGGACCCAAGTTTTCTTCCAAGAATTCATCTTCTTTTACACTATTTTCCACAAAGGAGAATGGTTCATCGTTTTGTTGCACATCTGGTAGCACCTGGTCATTACGTATTGCACAAGGAGAATTAGAATTGTTCTGGCCACTCGCATTTCTGTCATGTGTTTTATTCTTGGAAAATGACTCCAAAACCTTTTCATCAGTGCCAGTGTCGATGTTCCTTGGTTTGCCCTTCAATGATTTTTCTTGTATCATCTGCTCGTCCTTTTTCTGCGAAGCTATGAACTCTTCTTCACTCAACTTCAGAGCTAACGCCAGGTCTGGATCTATCTCTCCACTGGCAGCACTTGCCTGAGTTTCTAAAGATGGCCCATCTTCTTTCTTTATAGCAGAACTGTCTGCTTTGTCTGCTGTTTGGGTAGCAGTGGGGCTGCTACAGCTTGCATTATTTTTGCCTTTACTTCTTGTGACCCTTTTCTCTACATGTACCTGTACATGCCGTTTTCGGGCCATTTTAGCCTCTTCCTGGCTCAGTCTAATGGCCAGAGCCAAGTCAGGGTCTATTTCCACATTTTCAGCACTCGAGTTCTCTTTCTCCTTATCATCTGAATAACTTTCACCACTGTTATTGGTCAATGTTTTGTCATCGAGCTCAATGTCTGAATCAAATGGCATGGCATCTTGGCCATGTTCACTTTCTATCGTAGTATCTTGTGGCATACCAACTGGTAAGGTTTTGTCTTCCTCAGATCTTTGCTGCATTTCTTCAAGTCTAGCTTCTTCTTCACGATTAGACTGCATGAAATCAGAGGAAATGTCTGACGAAGTTGGATTCGAAACATCTGATTCTGTGCCAACCGCACTTTTATGAGTATTGCTGTTCTCCACAGTAAAACTATTGCGTGGATTGATGTCTCTTTTCCTTGAACAAAGTGTCTTCTCACTGTTACTTTCTGTGGGCAGCAGAGAATCTTTCTTCGCACTAACAGCAGACAGTAACTCTTCTTCTTGAGTGTCCGATGAGCTACGAGTGAGATTGTCTGCCCCAGTATCTTTTACAGCTTCAATGCTTGTATTCTGTGAATCGTCACTAACTTCTAAGGGGACATCGTTTTCTTCAACAACCGTGTCCTGAGAGTCGATGATTTCTATTGGCTCTTCCAGAGAAGCGTCTTTGTGACAGCTGCCTTCAGTTTCGGGGATGGTTTCATTCACATCCTGTGAATCAATGATTTCGATCGGTTCTGTTTCATCTAAACTCTCATCAGTGGCTATGTTTTTGAAGTCTTGCTGTTTGGCAATGTTGTTAGAGATGTTTTCTGAGAAGTCTTGTGGTATGTCAGGGATGGCACGGTGCTCTTGTGTGGCAGATGTCTGTTTCTCGTGTTCCACCAGGCTCAGACGTAGAGCTTCTACTAGCTGATCTTCCTCATCTCTGAGAACAAATTTCCAACAAACGAATTAAAAACACAGTAAAATGCCTCTTAAAATTTAAAACAAACCAATATTTATGTCAGGGTGGAGAGTTTGATCTGGTAGAATCAGCAAATCTACCGGTAAAGATGCTGAACGGAGTCTTTGTTGACACAGGCTCCAAGCAGGATGCTGGTAATGTGAATCTCCCATTTAGAAATCCTAAATGTAAGTCACCCCCTTGATCTAAAGTGACATGAATCAAAGTTGAAAAGTTCTGACTTTCTTTTAAGCGAATATTTTAAAATTTAGAGGCTCCAATCAGGATCTCTATGGTGATTTTTACCAGACCGGAGTCTCTATGCTGACATATATAAGCTGTGCATTCATTTTTCTCACACAGTATCACAATAAATGGATTAGCTAACTAAGAAAACAGTATTACCTGTTGGCATCCTTTGTCCTGTTTTCATCACTATTATTTCTAGCAGCTGGAAGGGAGTCAGCTTTGCTCAGCTCCAGTGCCTTGAAATCAGACAAAATGATGTCAAAAATATCAATGGCAATAAAGATGGATACACTGTTAATAAAAAATGGCCACCTAAGGCAAATATTAGTATAGAATTCTTAATTTAAAACTTTTAATTTAATGTCAATTTAACTATCTAGAAGATATACTTTTATCTTTACTTTGTAGATTGCAAAAGATGAAATATTCTGATTTTTTTAGTGATCTTTCGAAAATCATGACACCACAAATGTGCCTTTCTTTTCTATCATTAACTGCACTACAGAATGGTTTACACTGCAAAACCTTCTCTTCCTACCTAGAAATTAAGCCTATATAAAAGACAGATGAATTACCAGCAGAATAACAGACATATAAGAATATAGTGATGTTACATGAATGAGGTTATAAGCAGGATATTTTACCTTTTGTATCATGAGGTCCTCATTCTGGGAGTCAGATGCAAAATCATCCTTTGTCCTGTCTTCATCACTATTTTTTCTAGCAGCTGGAAGGGAATCTGCTTTGCTCAGCTCCAGTGCCTTCAAATCAGACAAACAAATGTCAAAATAATACATGTAAATAATAAATACAAATGGGCAATTTGGCAAATACAGTATAGCAAAACACTTGCTTCAACATCAATTTAACTACCTAATAGAGACACTTAGATCCTTTCTGTGTAAATTGCAAGTACATAAAAGATCTTGAAATGTATATAAATAAATAAATTCACAGTAGCACAACAGAATACAGCAATATTATGAGGCTATAAGTGGTTTACTTTTACCTGTTGTATCATGAGGTCCTCATTTTGAGAGTCTGGTGCAAAATCATCTGTAGAAAGTGAGCCCAGCCGTCTGCCTTCATTGACTTCCATCCCTTCATTCACAGTACCAGCAACGTCTGGTCCGAGGGTAGGCATGGGGGGATCAATACTGGGATGGTCCTGTTTTCTGCCACCCTGTGGAGGTTTCCTTCTGCCTGCAGTGGCGGACCCAGCTACTCTTCTGTTGTTAGGAGGTCTAATAAAAGAGATAATGTATCCAAAATATGTTTTAGGAAATTGGGAACGCCATACATTTTAATATAAACAGCAAATCATGTGTACTGGAAAAAGGAGGCAACTTGAATATCATATATGAATGATACAATTGGTAATACCAAAGCTATTGACAATGAATATGCTAATAACACACAAACCATGTGTATGCAAATCATACGCAAATGATGAATATGCAAATTACATGCAAATGACGAATATGCAAATTACATGCAAATGATGAATATGCAAATCAAATGCAAATGATGAATATGCAAATTACATGCAAATGACATGCAAATCATGTACAAATAATCACTCACTCACTCACTCAAAATGAATATGCAAATTGAATGCATATGAATATGCAAATTACATGCAAATGATGAATATGCAAATTACATGCAACTGATTGCATAACTCACAGCTGCGGTCTGACAGTCCCTCTCCGGTTATTTCCTCTCCCTCTCCCTCTTCCTCTCCCCTGTATCCTTCTCCCTCTGCCTCTCTGTATGGGAGGAGCACGACCTCTTCCATCATCATCATCATCATCGTCGTCATCATCATCATTCTGGTTCAGAAAGTTGTCGAAGAAGAGTGGTTGGTTTGGCCCAGCATCATTCCGATGTTGTCTGTACAGGTTCTGGAGTCTCTGGGTCTCCTCTGGTGCCTCTGTCCTCTTAACATGGCAGCCTAGATGAACCTGGGAAGGAAAATATAAAGTTGACAGAATATGAAACGTTGATAAATGTAAGACATCCCGATAATGAGGTACATGAGAAAACAGTTATTCAGCAATGGGATAGATTTTTAAAATTGTCAGACGCTTCAAGTAGCATCCAGTACTTTTTATCAGTACAGAATCTGTAGTTGAACAGGTATTGGTTCAAAAACTATACCTGAAGCCTGGCCATCAATAAAGAAGATTGCAAATTACAGAACCAAATAGAAGAAAAAAGTCATGGCCTTATGGGATGAATAGGATAAGTAAGAAGATACGTACCTGAAGCCAAAGCTGCCAGTAGCAGAACACGTCAAAGTGAATCAGTTCTCTCACACTGGCCCCCAGCATTGTGTCCACTATCTCTGTATGTTCATGGGTGGAAACAATAGGATGTTAAGTGCCAATAAAATGTCATACTGTTTTCCTGAGAAGCAACAATACATGTCCTTGGCACTAAAAATGCTGTGCAGAAATGCTGTTCATAGTGCTGACCTAATGCTGCAGTGCTATTCCTAGTGCTGAAATGCTGTCCTTAGAGCTGAAATGGTGTCCTTAGTGCTGAAATGGTGTCCTTAGTGCTGAAATGCTGTCCCTAGTACTGAAATGCTGTCCCTGGTTCTGAAATGCTGTCCCTAGTGCTAAAATACAACCCTAGAGCTGGAATGCTGTCCCTAGTGTTGAAATGCTGTCCTTTATGCTGAGATGCTGTCCTTTGTGCTGAAACGCCGTCCCTTGATGCTGTAAGATTGTTCCAGGTACTAAAATGCTGTCCCTGGTTTTGAAATGCTATACCTTTCACTCCTTCTTTGTCCCTTTACACCAATAAAAATAAAGATATGTAGAATGCTATTCTGTTTCTCTATAGCCAGTATAACCACCTTTAACCACCAGCTCAGCTATTTGCATGTGTAAACAAGATAATGAATATTCATGCATACCTCTGACTGTTCTGTTTCCAGCCTGCTGGTTGAGGTACTCTGCCAAGGCCCTGTCCTTAAACTTCTGACTGTTCTGTAACAGTTACAAAATATCAAAAAACAATAAATCAAACACTAGAAATAGCATGCAACTTTATTTCTTTACAAGTTTACTATATACCAACCTCGCTCTGTTAATCAATACTCAAATGCATTCATATGTGTGGTGACTAGCCCCTCTAACTCTGTCCTGCCATTGCTACATAATGTAATCCAACACCACAGGGTTTCTGCTACAGCACCAATTACCATGGTGACAACCCTCTGGTGAGGTTTGTTAACAATATTTGTTTGGAGAAGAAGAGAAACCGAACTAAAACAATATGATTTCCTTCTGCAAAGGTAGTAAACATAACACATATTACATTTTACATCATTTTACATCTTTTATATTGAAGTTAGTTGGGAGCAAAGTCATCTGTTCTATATATGGGTCCAACAAACCTTATTGTACACTTCCAGGTCCTGTATTATCAGAAGGGGTCGGCTTCCTGGTGACCTCTGGGTGGGGGGAACGTCCTGTAGGTCAGTCTTGGCTGCATCACTGAAGTTAGCTTCATTGTGGTACTGCCTACAAGGAGGGCAAAGACACAAAAGCACACTCACTGACTCAGTATGTGTACATACATATACTCATGTATGTGTACATACACTGACTCAAGAGGGGAGAATACTCGACAAGAATGGAGACACCAAGTGTTGATGTGCTGTTCATAGTTGAGTTGACAAAAAATTGTTCTTTTGAAATTATATCTAAATTGTCTTGTGATTTTGTTGTTAGAAAAGGTAAATATGACTGCTTTTTATTTATTAAGTGTATTAAAAAATCTGTGGTTAGCTGCCATTTCTGCATTCAGTTGTGTCACTCAGTTGCAAAGTATGAACTTGTTTAGGGACAAGAATACATTGTATTACCTGAAAACCATGTCTACTAGTTTGTCGGCTGACCACGTGTGGACTCCCAGGTAGTCTGCCCTGGGCCTGGGTTCAGGTGCACCATGGTTCTTACTACTGGCTCTTGTGGAGTATTCTGCATAGGTGATCAGCCTTCCATTGGTACCTGGGGAACCATAGTAGATTGTTCAGTAAGCTAACAGATGCATGACATTGTAATATGGAGTATAGCCCCACTAATTTTGGGCAGGTCACAGACCTAAAAAATCATGCACCTGAATCATAATATTTCATCCTTAGTTTGGCCAATGTTTGTCTTTCAATGCTATCCTTTTTGATTGTAACATGTTGTTAAAGTTCCAAAACTTGTTAAAACGTTCTGCTACACAGTTTTACACTTACAGGTAGCAAGGAATTCTTGGTGCTTTTTAAGGTCTCACATAGTTGTTTGCTAGGCAGGAAGGAAACACCCGTGTTAGACCTACTAACCCGTGTTCTGCATGTGAGCTGCCATGGCTGTGAGCTGCAGCAACCACTGTGCAGTCTTCAGCCACGTGCCGGTCCTGTTCACCAGGAATCCATCCTTCATCTCAAGGTTCAGTAGCTGGTTCTGGAAATAAATACAGAAATGATTACCTGTTGTAAAAATTGTAAAGGTAGTCTCATAGCCTTGTGAGGCTGTAGGCAATCCTTTGTGTCTAGGGCATGGCATTGGAAGGCAAAGCCCATCCCTCTCCTTCCACTGTCTTTTACCGCCCCAACTGACGTCTGGTACCCATTTCACACCTGGGTGGAGTGAGGAAAGTGTATTTGCCAAGGACACAACATCTAACAAGGAATGCGAGTAATCAAACCCATAACCTCTTGATCTAGTGTCCTGTCGTCTTAGCCAATGGGCAATTCAACACAAACATTTGTATGACCATTGCCTTAAAACTTGCAAGGTATTCAACACCATTCTGGAATATCTTATCATTTTAAGATAATTGAACGAAGAATACCAGTGAGCTGAAGAAGACATTATGTTTGTGCAGAAGACATGTAACATGTAACTTCACCCACCTCATAATACTGTATCTGTTCCTTCGATGGTCGTGTCCTCATGTCAGACGGGTGTCCCTCCACCAGGTAGAACAGATCTCTCAACCCACATCTCTGTACATATGGACAGAAACATTCAGTAACCTATCACACTTAGGATGTGTTATACCATTGATTCACAAGTCAAAGTGCGTGTTATTGTATGTGTTGGCTGCATGATATATATTTACTTTCTTTCTTTATTGGCAATGACAACAGATCAATAATTATACACAGGTTATCAAGGCAGTGTTAACTGGTATCAGCTTCATTGATTTTTGTCTCCACGTTTGTATTTGTGGTTACTAGATAACCCACAAATACAAACGTGGAGATAAAAATCAAATAGAGAAATCTACTAAACTACAAGACCTGAAATAAAGATAACATATATTTACCAACTTGTGGCTGTATGTCTGTTAATAATTTAATCAGGTTGGCAAGAAACTGTAAAAAGTTCTTTATTCAACAACCAGGGTTTTCACAACTGATGCTTCGGTGACTGGAGAAACCTGATGGAGGGAAGCAAGGGGCCAGTACCGGGCCTGAGCACATACATGTAGGCAGGCAGGGCTTCAGTGACTGTCCGTCAACTTCTTGTTCACTTCTTATTGCCCTGAACTTAAAAGGCTGAAGAAGATGACATAACATCAGATGTGAAAAAAATAATTAGTTAGATTGTAGCTGTATCATGATTGTGTACCTTCATGGCCTCCACCTGGTTACGGAAGCGTCTGGTGCTCAGGCTGTTCTGTAAGTCATCCCAAGTCTTACGCTCAACTATATGTGGCAGAACCTGGGGGATTAACACAAAATGTGGCATTGAAGCTACAGCAAATCTAGAACATAACTAAGCCTTGGATTCTTCTTTAGAAGCACCTTTGGCCTTTATCATTTAAATCAGGCTCATTAGGTCTAGGAAAAAAAAGGTTGTTTCCAGTTGCAAAACAAAAAGCCTGCTGCATCATTAAAGTAGTAGAAGTAGTAGAAATTGGTTTATTAATAAACCACAGAACAAATCGGCCTTGCAGTAAAAACTGAATTGCGCTGATATCATGTATATCATGAACATGAAAACATCATTGTTGAAAATAACACTGTTATCAACAGTATTCTGATGCATTTCATAGAGTTATTTGTTGAATCATTTTGACTGAAATCCACCAAAAACAGCAAATCCCTCCCTACTAGTAATAGTAAACAGAAATACAACATTAATTTTCCAATGCCTTAAAATTATCGTATCTAAGACAAGTTGCAAACCTGTTCATCATCTGGGCGCACTGCGGCATAGTCCACTCCTGCTGTAGGGGGTAGCAGGATCCAGAGGAAGTCTCCCACAGGCAGGTCCCTGATCTGTGCAGCCACGCCCTGTCTGTGGGCCAGGGCTGCCATCCGCTCACACAGAGGCTCCTTAGAATCCACCAACAGGCACACACGCCGGGAACCACACTGGGTCCTGAAAAACAAGGGCCAACATCAATTTCACAGTGAGTCACAAAGATATCCAAATTTTCCAACGTTTGAAGAAAAACACTTTCTGCATGTTTCCACTCAAAGAAAAACACAGATTTCAGACTTCTTGGAACTTCAGAAGTGTTTTGAGTTTATATATTGAATTACATTATAGAATTGATTATTACTCATACCATTGTATGACGTGATTTACTCTGGTACACCATGCTTTATATTTCATACCATGATTACACAGTAGTACACATTCCTAGTGACCTCATACCACATCTTACCACCCATGCCAGTTCAAAACCCAGTGTGTTGCTCAAAACAATAGTTTGGTCCTGGGAGTAAAAAAAATATGTCTGCCTTCAGAGTCAGGTAATATGTGATCCCATACATTAATAGCAGTAGCATCACATCTACTGACCCTCCTAGTTGAGGTACTTTTGGTACCCTGTTCACATTTAGAAGGTCTTCCACTGCCTGGTGGAACTCTGTGCACTTCTGAGCCAAGGTCCTTCCAGGCTGCAACAGGGAAAATCTGCAAAACACATAATCACAGAACATAATCATTATGTTCTTGGTAGCTCTTTTTCTGTTACATTTTATATGATTTTGCAGTGACATAAATAGCTCTTTATGAATGAAAAAATAAGATAGGAGTGGCAAATACCAGTTGAAAGAAATCTGATCCAAAAATGAATGTCATTGTATTGGAACTGCATTGTATGATCACAGAAAAAAACCCAATTGAATTACATTATAGAATGGATCGTTGGGAAGCACAGCAGATCAATCCACACTGATTTAGACATTCAAGGTAACTATGTACACCATAGCTGAAGCATGAAAAACTAACCTGGCATTTTCTCCAGCCTCTCTCTGAACAAAACCGTTGATTTGTAACGTGTTCTGCATGTTGTCAAACCCACCAAAAAATTTCCCTACAAAAAATGAAGAAATGAATTTATTTATTTATGAAGATTTACTACATTTGTGGAACGATTGACATAACAGGTGACTATCACCTTTTCAAGATGTCAAGCCTGAGACCAGACTGTAAGGTTTGAATCATTCACACCGGGAAGGTCCCCTACTCTAAGATAAGTGTGGTGGGATCTTTAACGTGCGTGTGGTGTGGCTCTTCCAACCAAACATGGGGTGGCTCTCCCAAACACAGGGATTTAACCTTTTGCACACTGAAGTGCTTTTTTTGCCACCAATTCTTCATTGTTATGGGGTTATGCAGCAAGGTTAAGAAATGTTGAAGATGTACAAAATGTACAAGTCTACCTGCTGCCCTGTCCGACAAGTCCGTGTCTGTGAAGACCTGGGCTCGAGACTTGATTTCATCAGCTGTCATACTCATCACCTGGGGGACCTGACTCAAGCCTCTGGGAACGGAAAAAAAAAGTAAGAATTTGTCAACACATTATACAAAATGCACTCTTGAAAAACACTTTGTTGACTTTGTCCAAATTCTACTTAAAGAATTCTGTTAGGTACTTCTGAAAGGTATTACATGTAGTACTGATTCAATTAATTTGGTGACAAAGTACATAGCCAAAGAATGATGGTGGATACTGTCTAAGAACTTTTGCTTGAAGTTGTGTAAGTTGTGTGTATCAGTTTAAATCCTCCTTTTTACTGTATATAAAATGTGTATGTAAAGTGTAGTATGAAGTTAAATTATTGACTTCTACATGTTAGGTTTTCCTAGTTTATAGAAAAGCCGTATAACGAAATTGACCTACTTGAAAAGAGCCACCAACATTGCAAATGGTGCTTTGTATGCCTTGGGGGTGTAAGACTTTGCAGCCTTAGGGGCTTCTTCAATACCTATATGTACAAAATGAAGGTAAGAATTATGACAGGTAGTTAGATGATGATGATGATGATCTTCATCATATAACAAAAGATGTGATGAAACAATGTACATAGACAATATATTTGTATATATCGTAAGGCACAATATATTTGTATATATCATAAGGCACAACTTACATGAAATTTGCCTATGCTTGCAAGCTAGGATTTAATTTCATGGTAGGAGAGCGGATACAACAATTGTAGTAGCACAATGTGAAACAGAGTACTTGTTGTTTCAGTGTCATGATTCTACTGTGGGAAGGTCACCACAAAAATACAACCAACATAAATATTAAAACGTTTGCAGTTAGTGAGTTACTAAAAGAAAGACATTGGCAGTTTAAAAAATGTAATCTCACTTTGATTAACCAACTGGCATCCAATAGAGCATGGGTATCTACTGTTAGTTACTGTAAGTTACTGTAACAAACTGAAACAAACTATAAGATAAATGCTGAGACCTTGGATGTTGTGATGTCTCCTGGCCCTTCCTTGGTGTAACCTGTCACAGCATGGCTGACACAGCACCAGTCCCCCTTCACACTGTATGGGTCATATGGAAGAAAATTACTAGCACATGTATATACAATACTGCACATAGCATGTACATGTTGGAGATCACAGTGAAATGTGTGTTTTTCTGTATCTGTATCTGTATCTTTATCTGTATTGGTATAGCCAATATAACCACCCTTCGGAGTGACACACCAGCTTCGCAGGCACGTGACACGGCGGCAGCTGGCTATATCACACCGAACGACCACTTTGCAGTCTATACCTGTAGAAGAAAAGAGAAAAACTCCAACCTGGGCACAGTATTTTGTGGCATCCTCTGCCTCACAGTCATCACATGGTCTGGGCCTGTTCTGTCTCCTCCTCCCACCATTCCTGTTGTTGTTGTTATTTCCTCTAGCTCCTGCAGCCTGTGTGGCTGGACCACCGTTGCCTGGGCCAGCATGAACAGGTCCATCTCCTGGTTCTGGGGCTAGATACATGTAGATGGGAGGCAAAAACTTACACATTGATAATATTCACTCAAATAACTCAAGTGCAACATTGCATTCTTAAATGTATTGGAAATATATGATCAATTAAAAACAGGACAATAACTATTATGACACTGACTTGAGTGGAATGAAAAAT